TCGAGATCATGAATTTTAAAACAATGGGATTAAATATTAAAAATAGGTTAGTTTTAAAAATTCAAAATGAATGGTCCATGTAATCCTGCTGGAGTGTAAGAGTAGATAGCCCAATGTTGGCCGAAGTCCACCGTACTTGTGTGATTGTGTTCATTGTCTTGAAACCCGACAATCTGAATGGGATACTGCTCATTTGGATTAAATTCTATTTCTATGGGTGTGGGATCCCTTTCCCTTCCACATTTCCCTCTGTCCGTATTTCAAAAAATTGGATCGGTGGAGCAGATTGTTCACCCAAAGATCCATATATGACCACTGGATTGGTGATCGAGATTGGGTTTGGATTGGCCTGAATTGGTGATCTAAAAAATATTAAAATAAATTAAAAATAAGGGTTTGTGGTGCGTGAATTTAGATGGCATCTACAAAAACATTAAATAAGCTTATAAAAAAAGGGAAAAAATATTTTATAGGAGGAGCCGGGCCATACTATCCTGGAACCATCTTTGCGTTCCATCCAGATTGCCCATATGCATTGGAGATCATATCGTTTTAAAATGGTGCCTTTGGTATTTTATTCTTATTATTTTTAGCTGATTTTAACGGATTCTATATCTTTGTTATTTTCAATTGATTTTACATTCATTCGATTGACATAGTCACTGATTCAATCGTTCTAGATCGGTACTGTTTTTGGTCAATCCAAAACCTAATTCTGAATTTTAAAACAAGGTTATTGTTTATAGGATTGTATATATTATAAAACTATATAATTTTAATACAAGGAGGCGACAATCAATACTAGTCTTTGAATGAGAGATTCCATATACCATGGTTTGTTGCAACATTCAAGTAATATTATTTGAAATTTTATACCCATCCAATCACACATTTATACCCCATCCATGCATCTGATTTGACATCCTCTTTTCATCTCTCTCCGCCGGTATCTTTTTCCTTCTTATACATAAAAAAAGAAAAAGGAAAAAAAAGGAAAGACGTGCACGCGCATGATATGAGCATGCATTCCCTATCGCCGCGACCTTTGATCTAACACCGAGTTAGCTCAACCATTATTATTAAAGTGCATCCAAAATTAAACATTCAAACAAAAGTGCATCTCAAATTAAATAAAAAAGGGCTTTTGAGATTTTGATCTCCTATGGTGTAAGCTCCAACCAGGATTATTATTAATGCAATACGAAGGCGCATCCTTTTTTTGCTAGAGTGCGTCAACCAAGCCTTTGGCTTAACCATGAAACACCCCTTTTAAAGAAGTGGGTGAGATTGTTCGAAGTTTGAACCTCTCTCTTCCAACCAGCTGCTGACCTAACCAAACCAAAACTAGAGTATCAATATTAATCTTTATTACTTGATTATGTCATGCAACACATAGACCATGCAACACTAATTGTGTTGTGTCCTTAATTGAGCAAGAGAATTAAGAAGTGCCAAAAGATTATATGGTCGTGCGGGTAGAGGTTCCATCCGGAAAAAGCCTATCTAAGAATATTTTTAGGATCTCAAATTTAAAGGATGAACCTCGCTTGACTGGGCAACCTAGAAAGAGAAATTCATAAGCATTATATCATCATCATTGCTAGAGTCGTTTTTCAAATAATTGGAATCGGCTATATGAATCATGGTTAGCCATTTTGCTCAATTAATGGTCATGCACTTAGTGAGGTTACATGTCTCCATATCTTTTATCACTAATTCCAACCATATCCTTTTGGATATTTTATAGTGACGCCCTATATTAGATTTTTTATGCTGATGTGTCACTTTTTGAGAGTATATAATATTTTTTATTTTTATTTTTTATATATCCAATGAAGCTTAATTTTTGGGCATCCATAGTTCTCATGATCATGTTTCTGTAAATTAAATAGAAAAAAGTCGGATAAAATAAAAGGACTAAAATACTCTTACAATTTACTAGGACTTGAGCATAAAATATTAAATATAAAGGATTATTTTCAAATTCTCTAGGTTAACTTTGTCAAATTTTTTTTTTTTTTTCAAATTCTAATAATAGAAACAGATTTCCTACAAATTTAACTTTAATACTCTTATGGTTATTCTAAGGTGGAATATCAAATTTTAGAACGAGAAAATACTCTTTAAGCAGAGCTGGAAATTGCCTAGACAACTCTTGCCCGAGCTTGGCCTGGATCCCCATAGGGTCGGACTAGGGCAAAGGGACCATGGCCCTATTCGGCTTGAGTGGATTGGGCCAAAGGGGCCTACCCCTGTCTATGTCAGGCTAGGCCAAATAGATTCAAGAGGGAAAACGAAAATATGAAAACTTAGGGCAACACAGAGTCTAGCTTCTGGCCCCTTTGTGTCCCTGACCCAAGCCCAACCCAAGGGCTGCATTTTGGCTCAAGCCTTGATTTTTCAGGGCCAGGTTAGACCACCACCCATTATTATTCTTACTTATAAGTCTTTTGCCCAAGAGAATAAATATGTAGAATGTTCTGGAGCATGGTCAAAAGTAGTGTGAAAAGATATGGGGACTTATGACCTCACTGAAGGTATAGCTCTTAATAGAGCATAATGGCGGACCAAGATTCGCATAGCGGATCCCAATTAATTGGGAAAATGCTCTGACGACAATAATGACGATGAGTGTTCTGGAGCATGGTTAGGCCGTTGGATGCCCATAAAGAAAAGGAAAAAAATTATGTAAGGTTGAGTCTCTAAACAATCAAACTAAGGCACAAGTCAAAGATTCACTAGAAGAAGTTGTTTTGAAGCTAAAAAACCGTCAATCCCGATCATCTCGACTTTGAGATGCACAAACATAAAAAAGCTGATGGAATTCAAGTCTTAGAAATAGTACATATTGTAATGCATTATCTAAACCGTCATTTTTCAAGTTTTTCAAGGATTCATAGATCTGCTTGATCTACACTATGTTTAAGCTTCAAATTTTATAATTAAAGATGAAAATAAAATTTCAGGTCATCATAAAAAATTTTGGTACTGAAACGATATCTTTCGATACCATTTGAAGGTTTGCCTTGTTTGATTGTTTAGGGCATTAGCTTTATACAAAACCACAAGAAAAAGGACTATGTAATGTGCTAACAATGAGCACCACAATACAATGCGCACTACTAAATGTGTTAGTGTCCTTATTTGGGAAAGGATACTATGAAATTGTCCCCTACAAGACTTATTCAATTTTAAAAATAAGAAATTTCTATTCAAGTAATTATTTTGTTCTTCAATTAATTGGAGGATAAAAATGTCCTTTGGTTGAAAGACATGGGTAATATGGATCCTCTGGATAGGGGCGGCACTGGGCCCGGTTGCCCAACCTAGGCGAGTTCTGGTCTTAAAAAGCTAGTACCTTGCCCAAAAAATGTGGCTTGTGGCGAGGCTTGGTTCATGACAGGGCCCGCCCGATTCAACACCTCTCTTATTTACTTTTTTTTTTCCCTTCCATCTAGTTAGCCCCTACCCCGCCGAATCCCATTAAGTCTAGTGCCGGGTTTGGATGAGGGCATCTTTGCCAATCAAGCCAGGTCTGAGCTGGGCCTTGTTGGGTTAGGGTCAGGTGAGGCCGAGGTCTAACCCGGTCCTTTGCCCGTCCTAGGCTCGAGTTGGTCATCCAATCGTTTGGTTTCCTCGTTCAAAAGAAAGGCTCAGAATACGCGGGCATCCCTCCTCCACAGATTCGGGAACTGAAACGTGCAGGATAAAAAGTCGCACGTGCTTCACTCTATCTTAAGTGTTGACACGTGTTGGTTTGACCTTGGGATGCCGTGTTGTCGCTGCGAGAGGGCTTCGTACAATCTAAATATCGTAAAAACAAGAGAGAAAACCCTAAAACATCAGGAGACAAACTCTAGAAAAAGAAGTGGGCGAAAAACCTAAAAGCAAAAGGGCAATACGAGTAATGGGTCCACGAGATCTTGACCACCACTAAAATTGACATATACCTCTAAAAAAAACTTTCTCATGAATGTAAGACTTGATGTTTTTAAAGATTTGTGTTAAATTGAATGATGATCCGTTAAGATCTTACCCACATAGGTGTAGAAAAATCTCATAGGATCATTACTCGATAAATATATATATCCTTATTTTTTTAAGAGGGAGGGTCTATAGGATCATTACTCTAATATATATATTTTTATTTTCCTCATAGAAAAAAAAAAACATCGGAGGGAAAATAAATAAGTTTGTTATTTTTTTAACTTTAAGAGAGAGAAAACCTTAAGATTTCTAAGATATATAGAGAAAATAAAGGAAAATATAAACAATATCCTTTTTTTTTTTTTCATATTATTAAAAATAAACTTTACTTTTTTCAAAACCTCATTCATATATCTTTTCATCACTGTTTATATTTTTTCGATGAAAATATCTTTTACAGTAGTCTTTAAGTGCGTGATGCCTTCAAAACCTCATTCATGCATATGTTCATCACTTTTTATATATTTCCGATGAAAACATCTTTCACAATAATCTTAAGTCTGTGATGCCATCACGCTTAATCCAGAACAGTGATTGTCATAGCAGGTTCTAAGTGAGTTCATGTTATCACATGTTTGAAACATCACAACACTTAAATACCTAAATGGATTATTCAATTATCACAATTCTAATTACACCGTGATCCTATACGACGAGTTAGAGATTTTTGTGAAGGGTATCAAGGTGGTGTGAGATATGTGATAGTCAAGGTGATTATCACGGTCATGTAAGTACTGGTTCTAATGTTGCATTTGAACCCTCCATGATCATCATGATTTTGGGTTAATCGAGATGCCTTCACAGACCTAATACTTTAATGAAGGGTATTTTACTCAAAAAATATAAAAAGTGGTGAAAAGGAGCATGAATGAGGTTTTTAAAAATTCGAAGTTTATTTCTAGTGATCTAAAAAAAAGAGATATTCTTGATAGTTTCTCGTAAAATATTGGAGACAAAATAAATCTCGATATTTTCTGACTTTATTTGAGATAAAACAAGAGAGAGAAAGGGCTGTTATTTTCTCTCCCGCTTTTTTCAACTTGGAAACCCTAATTTATCACACTGCAACGAACCTTAGGTCAGAAAAAGGAGCCCAAAATTTGCGTCTTTCGCCTTTTTCGTGGCAGACTGGGGAATCCTAATTTTCCACAACTAGTGCTAGGGCACAAACGAGACATACTGTTCCTAGTTTATCATGCTTTTCCCTTTCATGGCGGTATTTGGCTTCCAATTTAAACCAGTAAGCTGTTCTTTATCGTTTCCCAGGTCTTGTTCCTCTTGTTTGTGTTATTCATAGCCGTTAGGGTTCTTATTCTCTGCTCAATATCCGTATATTCTTCTGTGGTTTTTTTCATCTGCGCAATGTGGTGAAATGATCTGTTGATGTGAAATAGCAGTCGAATTCCAGATTCGTTTTTGCTTATTTTTTGATGCTTAGGATTGTTTTTTTTTAGGTGTGTTGTTGCTTTTGCTTGATATAATTCTCTGGTTTTTTATGGTTTTTGAATCTTTGGGTGATTTTGGGTGTAGATTTTGGAAGCCCATGGTTTTTGGGACCCAGAAATAAGCAGAGATTGGCTGGTATGAAGTCTACGGGTTCTTGTTATCGTGTTATGAACTGGAGAAGATTCCAGCGAAATGGGAGCACTGGGGTGGAGGTTAATTTTGTTTTAAGAATTGCAGAGTACGAGAGTTTTATTTCTTTGGTCTGAAATCTAGGGTTTCTTGCTGCTAATAGAATAAATGAATGTTTCTCTGATTGACTTGAGTGGTTCAAGATTATTTAAATTTAGTTATTTATCTTAAATCTTTTGAGGCCCTTCCTAGTGAACAGGGGAGGAAGAATTATTCACAAGTTCAGCCCAATTTCATGGCTGAAGAAGGCCTCAGACGCTTAGGTCATTCCCAAAGGAACCGAGCCCAGGCTGGATTCTCCACTGGTTTGGCAGTTGTATTAAATTCGGAAGATCATAGAACCAATCTTCCCAAAACCCATTTGATTTCCAGTAGTGATGACTTAGGTAGTGGATCCATTGACCGAGCTCTAGAACACGTTTTTGACCTACCCCACAAATCACTTCATTCCCACAAATCCTCAATCAATACAGACTTTATCCACTCAATCTTAAAACGTGAAAGTCAAAGGTTCCAGTTGCAATCCAGTTCACCTTCTTTAACCAGAGAGGGCATCATCATTTTTGATAGTGGTCATGGAACTGAAACCGTTGTCATAGATGAAGCTAGCACTTGTGGGGATATTAGGGTTTTTAAGCAGCCGCTGCTGATTGAAAGCCAGGCAGTATTTAGCAGTGCACGTGCTAATGCTTGTGTTTGGAAAGGGAAGTGGATGTATGAAGTGGTTTTAGAAACTTCGGGTGTTCAGCAACTTGGTTGGGCCACTGTTTCATGTCCATTTACTGATCATAAGGGTGTTGGAGATGCTGAAGATTCTTATGCTTTTGATGGAAGAAGGATTAGCAAGTGGAACAAGGAGCATCACTCTTATGGGCAATCTTGGGTTGTTGGGGATGTTATTGGGTGCTGCATTGACCTCGATCAGGATCAAATTTCGTTTTTTCGGAATGGTGTTTCTCTTGGGGTGGCTTTTGATGGGATTCGAAAGATGGAAGCAGGTTTTGGGTACTACCCTGCTGTTTCTCTCTCTCAAGGTGAGCGTTGTGACCTGAACTTTGGGGCAAGGCCTTTCAAATATCCAATTGAAGGGTTTCATCCTATTCAATACATGCCAACTTTTAGTGATGGTGATAAGAAGGCTTTTGCCCCAGATGTGGCCTCTTACTTGCTTCAATGTATATCAAGGCTCATAAGGCTTCAAAGTGTCGACCTTTCGGCTTCGAGTTCTGTTGACAATTTGAGAAGACTGAAGAGGATTGCTCCACTTGAGGAGCTCTTTGGGCTGATATCACTAGGTATTTGTCAAGAATTCTTTTCTTTGGTGGAACTTATGTCAGGAAATGTTGAATATATTTGTTGGGGACCGCTGGTTTCATTCTTGTTTGACATATTTGGGGTGAAAGCACCACATGATTATGCAAGTCTAGATATGGTTCTTGATCTCTTTCTAGGGTTTAATGGGTTCGAGACATTGGTTGAGCATGTTATTCATGCTCTAGGTACTGGTTGCAAAACAGCACCTCTGGTTCTGACTGATTGCCCTTTCACTGGGTCATACCCATATCTTGCCTTAGCATGTTATATTCTCAGACGAGAAGAGATGATAATCCAGTGGTGGAAGTCGACTGATTTTGAGTTTCTGTTAGAAGGGCTTCTGTCACGAATGGTTCCGAACAAGCAGGATTTGCAGTATCTGATGCCTACTGTCTGGTGGCCTGGTTCATGTGAGACGATGACATCGGTATCTCATATGGTACAAATCACGGAGGCATTATCTGGAGCCGTTGGTAAGGTATATTTCTTGTATTAAAGCTTATTCTGTGGACTTGTGTTGATTATCTAATATAAATTACACATCCAGCAGTTCCCAGCGGTGCTTTTTTTTATATTTCTCCGTTGTAAAGAGATACATTATTTCTTTTGGAAACTACCAGTTTCGCATTTGACTCTGTCTTGTTAGTGTGTTATTTTTCACTTTGCACACTTTTTCTTTGCAACAACATGAATTGCACACTCAACTTCTCTTTTTAGATTGTGAGCTGTGCACTCAACCACTCTTACAAAGATGATATTATCGGTCATTATTTTCACTGGTGATATAACTGGCTTTACCTCTGTCTTTCTCTCTCTTTTTTTATTTTTTATTTTTTATATATGGGAAATTTGTCAAAACACACAAAGATATAAACTATGTAACTTTTTTCCCAGATCTTTTTATTCAATTTCAAAATACCCATCAAAATACAAATGAGCATGAGTTGGAATGTTTGAAAAAGGCTAAATTGCTAAATTGTTGAAAAGTTAGGTGTATTTTGATTAATTTCCCTTAAGTTTTTTTGGGATAGTTTCATCTCCTGGTCTGTTTAAATTTTTCTCATAGAGCATTTCGATGGAGTGCATTTTTAGGGAAGATTCCATGAGATATTTTTTAGGGTCTAGTGTTTACAGTTTCCTTTGTTCTCTATGAATGTTAGACTTGGTGTTAATACCCACGTAATAGTTGACATTTGACTTCTACCTTTAAAGGATGGTGTTTTATGATTTCGACCAATATTTTGTTTGACAGAGAGGAGAATTTGTAATTGTAATCCATGTTTTGTTTAACAGATAGAGGAGATGCATAGGGAACTTTGTCGACTTGTTATCCAATTTGTACCTCCAGTATCGCCCCCACAATTAACTGGTTCAGTATTCAGGACATTCTTACAAAACCTCATTTGGAAGAACCGAGGTGCTGACCGCAACGTGCCACCTCCTGGGCTCTCAAGCAACTCTGTCCTTGTTTCTATGTACACAGTGATTCTCCACTTTCTATCTGAGGGTTTTGGTATGGGGGATGTCTCTGGATGGATGAAAGGGTTTGTCAATAGCAAAGGTTTTCTTCATAGAGGAGGGCAACAAAGTTTCCCTGTAAGCTTGTTTCTTAAGGCTGATCCCCATCGTGTTGACTTCTCGAGGCTTGGGGGATCATATAATCATTTATCAAAATGCCATCCTGTGATTGATGGGGAAGTGGAAGTGGTTCAGTGGGAGGAAGGTTGCATGGATGATGAAAAGACAAGAATAACACATTCTACCAAGCAAAAGCCTTGTTGTTGTTCGAGTTCTGACTTTGAATTTACTAAAAGTACACATCCTGTTAGAATTATAACTAGAGGTTCCAGGGGTCATTGCAGTTCGATTCCAGAGAGATCTTCTCAAGTTACGGCAGAATGCAGTGCTAGTGGTTTGAGTGAGGAGATTGTGGCTAATAAACCAAGTTCAAGTGACCGGCCTGAACCTGACTTTGGATATCGGCCAATACATCAACTTAGGAGTGTGCCAAAGTCAAGTCTGCTGTCTTCAGGAACATTGCAAGAGGAGGAACTACTAGATGCTATGCTACTGTTATACTATTTGGGTCTCTCTCCAAATTTTAAGCAGGTGAGCTAATTGTGCTGCTGTTTATTTGTTTGATGAGGTGTATTACAATCCAATGGTCTATGGAAAACCATAATCTACTGGGTTCATCACCACCCAATTAAATGATGGATGGTGATGAAGAGTGCAGGAACCAGCATCACAGGACATATTCAATGCCCCACTTGTGGCTGCTACTCTCTTCTACCATCCATCGTTTCAATGACAACGAGGGCCCAAATGGAATAAAGTTTTCCATAGTCCATTGGATCATAGTCGATTTATTTGTTGTTCACATATGTTGCATATGAGTAGTCCAGAGTTGCTGCTCTCTTCGAATGCTGGTTAGCTTACCTCTTCTTTTGAAGATTCAAATCATTTGAACGCTGACCAGTTAAATTTTGGCACTATTATGCCTCAGTCCTGCAAGCACAATGCAAGCACAGTGCAATGACAGCTATAAAATAAAAAATAAAAATACCAACAGCAAAAGGCTAAGTTTGCACCCTAGTATTTTTGGTTTAGCAAAACATGAGTATCTTCTATTAAGCAGTGGTATTTATCTGCAGCCTGCCCTCCTCCCCCGCTCCGCAAAAAAAAAAAAGTGTGTGTGCATGTGTACGTGTGCGTGCATGTGTGTGTGTGTGTGCGCGCATCTGCGGTTGCATGACTGCTATTAATTCCTGAAATATGGCTCTCTCTCTCTCTGTGTATTGAATGAGATAAAATCTTCAAGGTTGAGCTTTTTAACCAAGTGGTATGGAGCTCTTCCTTCTGGGCTTTTTAACCAAGTGGTATGAAGCTTGTCCTTCTAGCCTTTAACTCTTTTTTCAGATTCCTTAAAGAATGAAAAGCCATAAAATTTTTGTTTTGGATTGTACCTTTGCACTTTGAGTAATTATGAATAAAATGAAAATGATGAAAACCTCTGTTCTCATCAGTCTGTCTTGGAAATATTTTGTTGTGTTTGGTTTTCTAAGAGACGTATTGTAATAAATTTATTTAATATTTTGCAATTCTCCCCTGGGATTTCTTTTCCAAAGGAAGCTGAATTATATATCTTGGCTTTAGGCATCATATTACATGTCCCATCAATCGCAATCCATCTCTCTCTTGGATGAAACGGATAAACAAATTCGATCAGAAAGGACATGTGCGGAGCACCTAAAACGTTTGAAAGAAGCCAGGAATGTCTACCGAGAAGATTTGATTGATTGTGTTAGGCAATGTGCATGGTAAGGTCTTTTTTTTTCGTTTTTTTTTTTGATTGTTAAGGCCATTATTGAATTTCGTTATGTGAACAAGTTAAATTACCAAGTTGAGCTGAATGGTGCAAGCATGATTTAGCCTATATGTTTATTGTGCTTCGTCGTCATAATTCATAGTTCAGTTATTGTTGTTAATTGATATTTGACAGTTGAAAGGACTGTACTTTTATCTTCCTCGAAACACTTTAACCTCATGTTTACTTATATTTAAATGTTATTATTGTGTTTCCTTTCTTAGCGTTGTTTATTTCATATTTTGCTTGAAGGGGCCATATTTCCAGTATTAAATTCAATCAAATAACATTGAATGACTAGTTTTTTTTTTTTGCTGGAACCAATTGTTTGGGAACAATTGTTATTGTGTGATGCTGTGTAAATTTCACTCTCTCTCTCTCTTTGCTTTTATTTGTAGCAAACTTTAGTAGTATATGGGTCTAAAAAAGCAGCATCTGCGGAGTCAAGCAGAATTCTATGTCTAGGGTTAATAGAAGAATGATGTTTTGTGACAAAACGTAGTCCTCTGTTGTTGAATCTGTGCGGCTGACCATACAATCAGCATTGAAATACCTTTTGGGAAAGTTAAGCATGATGCAACCTATTGAGGGGTCACCATGGTTTTGCCGCTACAACAAACCACCTCAACTTGCAAGTAACATCTCCAAATTACTAATGGAAACCTGGCTTGGCTGCCTGTAATACTTGTAAGCCTCATGGTCCTTTGCTGCATCCACACTTTGTGGGCAGGCTTTGTCTGGAAATGGTGTTCTACTGATTTCACTCAGAATGGACATGAGTTGTACTGAATTCACTCAGAATCGACGTTGAGTCCTGCTCTTACTCGGTACCTACATAATGTACCACTACATTAATAATTAGCTATAATTAGGTCAATAAAAATGAAAAGATAGCAAAATGTAAAAGTAAAATAACGAAGCAAAACAAACAAAATGTTTATCAGTACAACAATAAAAAATTGTGCACAAAAAGCCAACCAGTTTAAAATTATTTGACAGGTCCTTTGTTGTCATGCTGGAGTGAATCCCTTCCCCAGTTCAATTTAAAGGTTATTGATTGCAATAGTCTCAGAAGGGTCGTATATTGTGTAGCCATTTGGGTCTCTTTTCTAATTTGCTATCATTTATAAAATAATAAAGCAAAATTTTTGGGAAGATTACATTGCTTTATTTTATTTGCGTTGCAAGGAAGGGGATCAAATGTTCTCCTTTCACACGATAAATGGGTTGAGGAAAACTGCTTCCCATCTGTGCCTTTCCAATTTCTAACCATTTTGAAAAGCTTATGAAGTCGCCCTAGTCAGCTGCTAGGAGTCAAGCCAGTGACTTCAGGTGAGCCACTTAACTGCCTAGCTTTTTCAAGTAGCTTTATGGTTTTCTTGATTGCTAAGCGTGGGTAGCTGCAACATAGTTATGAGAATGGAGTCCACTGAGCCGTGTGGTGGAGCTCCAAAGGTTTTGTTTTGCTCTTGTGTCTAACATATAAAAGATGAAAGATGTACTTCTTACTCTATGTTTGTTTGATTAACCTTTTCATATTTCTTGCTGCACCATAATGATGATGAGCTCATAACTTTCATTTTCTTCTCTTCTCTATTTCATTTGTCTTTGACTAGAGTTCGTTTTACCGTTTTCCTTCTCATTCACTAGTAGACATAGTATTTACAATACTCTATTTTGGTTGGGTCTTGAGTTTTGTTCGCATTGCAGGTATCGGATCTATTTGTTTTCTAGGTGGAAGCAAAGGGGAATGTATGCTGCATGCATGTGGATTGTGCACTTACTCTTGGTCCTAAGCAAGATGGATTCTGTTTTCATTTATATCCCAGAATTTTATTTGGTAGCTCTGGTATGCTCTCCTGTTTTCTGTTGTGGAAATCAGTTGTGAAGGCAAAAATATGATGCATATTTGTAACTTACATGTCAGTACACCTTTTCTCAATTTTTTATTTTTTATTTGTCAAAAAGGTACACTGCTTTCGATTGAAATAAAGTTTGTTTTTACGCAAATTTACTGGGATTTCGCTATAATAAATTTTCCTATCAAGAAGTATTTAATGATGAATTGTGTCTGTCCTTGATATGATAGAAATGGAAACTATATTATGGTCCAATGGACTTCGGAAAACCATCGGTTATTGGATCACCACTCTCCATTGAATGATGGATGGTGAGGGAGAATATCTTTTAGTCAAAAGATATTCTTTTACAAATTTATGACTGTTTTATTCAATTTGTAATAGATCATTAAAGTTTGTTTATTTCATTGTCCCTAAATACCTTTGTCCACTCCTTTTGTTTCTTTCACTACTATATCCTAATTACTTTATGGTATAAATAACTTGTTATGCAATCCCTCAGTATTCTACAACCGATATTAGCACCGTCTTCTGCACCAAAAGATGGGCAATAACTTCCCATACTTTATTCTTTAGAACGTATAAGTATCTTTCTTCCCATATTGGCATCCTTTGTATATGCAAAGTTTCATGACCGAAAAAGACCTGCAAAGTTTGTTGCAGATCCTTGAAGAAGGCTTCCTCCTTTTCCTTTAGTCTCTAAAGTAGTTTCATTAGAGTACATTTTGTTGAAACGCATCTCTTTGCAGTAAAATTCTAACTCTTGGTATATATACTATCTTCACTCCACAATTGCACTGTACTTCAAATCTTTCCTTGGTTGTTGCAGGTTGACTGTTTTCATGCTTTACGTAGGAGTGACCCCCCATTCGTGTCGTCATCGATTTTTCTACAGCATGGGCTGTCTTCATTTGTATGAGTTTGCCCTTGAGCCTTTCTGTGATCACTGTACCCTCAGTTGAATGTTATGCTCATGCCTTTGTTTCTACAGTTTATTCTGAAAAAGAAAAGATTTATATATTTTACATTCATCAATTCTTTATGAAGATATTACTTGTATTATTTGTTTGCACTTGCTGGTTATCATGTATGTCAATTCTGTTTTTGGCTGTGGTTTCATGTATCAATCATGTATGGCTAGGCAGTGCAATAGCTTTTGTGATCTCTAAGCCCACTAATGATTCTAGGGCTTTATGTGATAAATGACTTCATGACAGGAAAGTTTGGGAGTTAATTTCTCTTCGGCTTCTGATAGCTTTTGCTTTTGTCAGGTCACTTTTGTAGTTACACATTTCAATGATTCAAGGATATCGAGTGCGGATCTGAAAGATGTTCTCCTCCAATCCATAACTGTCTTAGTACAATACAAGGACTTTTTGATTGCTTTTGAAAGCAATGAAGCAGCTGTTGAGAGAATGCCCAGTGCTTTGCTTTCATCATTTGATAACAGATTCTGGATTCCGGTGACAACCATACTTCTAAGGCTCTGTATTGGCTCTGGTTTTGGAACGCCAAAGCCTGCAGAGTCCTCGTCAATCCACTTCCAGGTAAATATGTTGTCTTTTATGCATATTCTTGGTACCCACAATTCAAGGCGTTGTTTCTCCCCTACTTTTCTTGAAGATCAAATCAATACCTGGGACACCTGCATAAACCATCATACAGGTGCTTCAGATAGTTGAGCTATGATGAAATCGGTTCCGTAACACCTTCATAAACCATTTTCCAGACATTTGAAATTTGAAAATCATGTGTGGGTAAAATCAACCTTCTTCTTTCTTCCTAACATGGGTATGTTGACTTGGTTAAAAAATTTCAGGAAAAAATTATTTAAAAGCATGACCAATTTAGAATAGTCATGTTTAAAGACCCATCCAAGCACTGTTAGAAATTTCAAGTTTCTGGATAACCTGCATGTTTATGCAGGTGTTCCAGGTGCTGCTATTATCTCTTTGCTGCGTATTTTATTTTGCTTTTAGTTTTTCTTATGGTATACTGCTTGCTTTGTGAAGGGATTACTGCAGAAAGTTTGCCTCCAAGATGAAGAACTGTTCTGCACCTTTCTCAATCGACTGTTTAACAATCTCAGCTGGACAATAACAGAATTCTCAGTCTCAATCCGAGAGATGCAAGAGTCTTATCAGGTATTTTTTACTACCAAAATTCACTCTTTTGTCATACTAGAAACAATAATATGGTGAAAAAAACTTTGAAAAAATACCATTCAAATAAGAAAAAAAAAGAATTTATTAATGACATGCTGAAAACTGGAAAAAAGATTTGATTGTGTATGATTATATGATAAAATGATAGTTACACTTCTAGGTTTGTCTTGTGAAATGCTACATTGCTATGCCTGTTTATCTACATTCAGGGGCATTTGAGTTATTATTTGAATTTTACACAAGTTTACGAATTTTTATTTGTTGGGGGACCTGTGTAGAAGCATTTTGCTGTGTCATGCTTTGAGAATATATTAGAAGGTGGTTGGCAGTGCCTAGGGGGCCAGGGGAGGATGCTGCCTAGGAGTGATGTGGCCACCCCAGCCTTACAAATATGGTTATGTATGTATGTTTGTATGTATGTAGGCTATGATGATGATGATGTGTTGTATATTTTTATATAGATAGACACACAATTTGAATGAGAGGCCTACCTATCCGCAATAGGTGTCTAATGTGCCTTGCTGACGAAGAGAGTAATTCCCACCTTTTCCTTCACTCTCCACTTGCCCAGCAAATCTGAGTAGCTCTCATCCAACTCTTCAATTGGCAATGGGTTACACCCAAGTCAATCCCTCTTCTTTTTAGCTCCCTCCAACCACTCCTTGGCCCAAAGCTGGAATCCTTCTGTGGAAGGCCTTGGTGGCTGTAGCCCTCTGGGTCATATGGACCGAGAGAAATAGTAGTATCTTCCGTGGAGAAGGTACATGCCGGCCTTCATTCTTGACAAGATCAGGTCCATGGTTGTTTTCTGGGCGACAAACCACAAACACTTCAAAGGCGTCCGTCGTTCTGCTTTCTTTCAAGATCGCGAAGCCATTTTTCACTCAAGACAGGCTCACATTCCTCAGACGTCCCATTGGAGATCACCAATCCCAGGGCAAACCAAACTGAACTTTGATGGTTGCTCCCTAGGTAATCCTGGTCCCTCTGGGATCTGTGGATTATTAAGCGGCCATGAGGGTCACATTCTGGCCTCCTCCTCCATAAATATTGGACATTCGGACTCCCATACGTCAGAGGCCCTCGCTCTTGTTGAGGGACTCAGATTGTTCAACCCCCCAGTGGAGCCTTTCGCTAGTAGTTGAGGGGGACTCCAAGAATGTCATACGGTGGGCCTCCGGCTCTTCTCCTCGGCCTTGGTCCATGGCTCACATCTTTGATGAAATCACACACATTTGCAGGGATATGGACATCTCTTGGAAGCATATTTGGCACGAGGCCAACCAAAAAGCTGACTCTCTTGTCAATGAGGCTGCCTCTATAGCTTAGCATAACCCTCCCCTATCTTCTTAGGTCTTACTTCTGGAGAATTTTTTGTACCTTGATTGTTTTATCCTACCTGATTGGTGGTTGTTATGTTCAGTCTACCCCTTCAGGGATATACTTCTGTATAATGCTCCCTTCCTGTGAGGGATTTTTCGTATAGAGCTCCCAGTATGTGGGAAGCCTATTTTTTGATTGATTATACCTCTCTATACTCAACAGAACAGAACAGTTAACACTTTCAAAAAAGGAAAAAAGAAAAAAATATTGAATGATAAGAAAAATCCGAAGTTTGAAAGTGATTAGGTAACCATTGAATAATATTTCACACATGTTAAACAGCCACAGACATCTCAAAAGATCTCAAATACAAACAAATTTAACCAAGAATGCCCAAACCTTGTTGCCCAATGCTTGATCTCTATGTTTTGGATGAACCTTAAACTTTAAATCTCCCAAATTTCACAAATAATTAAACCCAAAAAATATGGATTTGATTTGATTTTGCAAAGATTTTTTCCTTTTGTCAATCTCAAAAATATTTTCATAGAATGAAATTATTATTATTTTTAAATAAAGTCTTAGGGAGCACTTTCATTATTTTTGTCTGTCTTGGAACACTGACCTACCCTCAGGTGTCTTTCTCTTCGTTAATATATGGGTGAAAGATAAAAATGCCCATGGCCTTGGGCCTTTTCCACCCTTGGGCCATGGGCAGCCCAAGGTGGGCGCCTTAACTGAGGCACTAGGTGCCTTGGCCTGCCTTGCCCTGGATAAAATGCCTAGGCGACCATACTTCGACGCCCACCTAGGAACCCAAGACTGTCTTTTTTTTGACACATTTTACTTGGATAAGGAGATGGACACATCTGCAAAGTCAACTTTTGATGTTTTCACTATTTTTTTCATGAGGACAGTGTGGATACACTATTTTTCGGAAATCCATTCCTTAGAGATGTTGGTTTTAGCTCTGAAACATAGAAGGGAAAGCATAGGATAAATGTACTAGGCGATGGCATGGCAAGCCATCCTCTCTCTGTTTCAAAAGCAATGGTGGATGTTCTGTTTGCCTGTGTACCATTTTTCGCATTGTCGATGGGCTGCCTGTGTACTGTCTAGTGAAGTGAATGGCCTGTCTGCATATTGTTTAGCTTATGCGTTATACGTATGCCCTGCTTTCCCAAAAAGTTACTTGTAATTGCCATGTTAGAATGACCTGAATTTGATAAACTCACAGTAGAAAGGAGTGACTCCAGGTATTACGCCAGGACATGTTTGTGTATAACCTTTGAAAGAAAAAATAATTATGCTCAACTACATTGATTCTCTATTTAGTACTCTAATAACATGATAAACCTCTTGTGCTTTAGGATACTTGTAATCATTTCTTTAGGTACTATGATGTCATGAACTGTCAAATCCGAATGCTCGTGTCATCTTTAATCTTATCTCTTATGTTGGTCTCTTGTAATATGCAGCACACATTGTTTGCCAATTAAAGTTGTGTGTTAGGATTTATTTAGTTTTCAAATAAAAGTTACCGTGATAAGTTACTTTACAGGTCCAAGAAATGCAGCAGAGGAAATGCACCGTGATATACGATCTCTCATGCAGTCTCGCTAGAGTACTGGAGTTTTTCACACGTGAGATACCTCGCGCATTCCTTTTTGGTCCTGTCACCAACCTTAGGAGGCTTACTGAGCTGATCATCTTCATCCTCAATCGCATGACTTCTGCTGCTGATGTAGAGTTCTTCGAAATGTGAGTCACATCACACATGCATAATGCGTCTCTCTCTCTCGTCCTCTCTTTCTCAGTTTCTCTTCACACGTGTACATACACACACTAAGCATATATTTTTCCTATAGATAGTGATTAGCTTCTTGTCCTCTTCAGTTGCAAAGAAAGGGAATGATACTGGCTCCAGACTAAAATTGAGCACTTTCCATGTATTTCAGGTGTATTAGGCGACAGCATCAGTCTATTGAGAAGGTAAACCGAGCTATGATGTTAGCGCCCTTGGTTGGTATGATCTCAAACTTGGTGGATGCAAGTGGTGATCCTTCCCAAGTGGTGGAAAATGATGTTGTTGAAGTGTTTGCAAGCATGGACTGCTCAGCAGCCTTGCATTTTGGGTTCCAATATCTCTTGGACTACAATTGGGTAATAATCAATAGATGTTTCATATGTGACAGTGTGTGTGTATGTGGTTTGGATGGCAGCTCATGCTTCACATTGCCATTCTTTCATTGATGATATGAAGACTTATCTCCCCCCTCTTCCCCCCGAACCCCTCTCTCTTTTTTTCCCCCTCTAAATGGAAATCTTATTTTCTTTTAATCTCTCTAGATGACGTTCATTTCATTCTCTATGACAGGGTGCTGTGTCAAGAGCTGGTGTCTCGCTAGCCAGACTGAGGCAACTTGAGAGGTTCACATTTTGCCTGAGGATTCGGGCAGAAAGAGAGGGTAGATCGGTTACCAACGAAATTTGTGATGAGAGAGAAAATGAAGAAAGCTGTTGCATTTGCTACTCATGTGATGCCGATGCCGAGTTTGTGCCTTGTAATCACAGGTCATGCATTGGGTGCATAACCAGGCATCTTCTCAATAACAGGAAGTGCTTCTTTTGCAATAGAGAGGTGCTGGAAGTCGTGAGCAAGGTTGGAAGCTCAGAGAAGCGGAGCTGAATCTGTCTATGTATATATACACGTGTTCGAGGTCATGATATGTTCATGGAGTGACCACGAATCCGGCGTCATAATGTTTGCCTTGATGCTGAAATGTGGTGAAACGAAAGGAATTCATCCACAAAATGTCGCCAGATTCTTATGCTATGTATGCGGCATGTACTTGTATTTGGTGGATTCTGTTCATTTGGTTTTTTTTGGAGGCAGGTGTCTACTCTCTCTCCTAAACCCGAAAATTAAGGGTTCGAAAGCGGAGTTAAATGTAATGGAAGGAGAGAGATTAAGTGGTATGCAGTTGGTAGGGAATTTTGTAGGAAGTCGGGGATAATTATTCTGTATATATGAGGTGTAAGCCAAAGGAATTGTAAGGTGGTCTCTCTCTCTAAGGGAGACACGGTCTCTCCTCACTTTGGGGATCTCTCTTTCTCACTTCTCTTTAGGAGTCTCTCTCTCTCTCTCTCTCTCTCTCGTCT